AAACATCTTGCATTAAACGTGATAATAAATAATTTTAATGCGTATCAAGTTCCCGAACTAAAAGGTAGATCTATCGTGGCTTGATGTCAAAATGGTATAGTCCTTCGTTTAAAAAGTAAAGTTTTGTATACATATGTGTCCTCAACTCTTAGGATAAGGGTCAGAAAATGTGCATTTAATGTGGATTAGGACTTATGTTTCAAGAAAGAGACAAAATAATTAATTGTAAATAACATTTATCTACATGGTAACGAACCACTTTGTAAAAGCTCTAGAGTTACCTAGAAACATAAGACGTTTTGAAATAATACGTAAAACACCCTGTATTTCATACATCTTAAGAGATTTTTATTCATTTAATTCTGAATTCAAATCGACGTGTGAGAGACCAATTTGTATGTGTAGGTATACATGACTCTACATTACATTTTATGTATATATTAATTCTTTTGTTGTGTAACTTATATGGGATCGGGAACCAGTTATTTATATCCAGGGTTGACTAAACTTTAATTGTGTAACTCAGCAACTTAAGAGGTAGTATCCCCCATGCATATGGTAACTACGTGTTTAAATTAAATTTCCTTTCATTTACCACCATTAAATTGTTCAAATGTTATTTTCTGCTGGCCTGAAACAAGCCATGTTAATTCGAATCGCCTCGGACAAACGTATATATTATGGTTGCTGGCTTATGACTCGACAGCGATAACCTAACGTACCTGAAAGTCGCTACCGACCAACTTCATTCAAGAGTCACAAATTACACCGACCGGGAAATTTTATCTTTCAATTTGTTTAAGTGGGTTTTTGAGGATTTAGTCAATAGCCCAATATAGGCTTAAGTATGTGCAAAGAGATGTTTAAATCTTTGTCCCTTTTTAAATAAACGCATGATTTATATATCCAGTGTACAAGAAACAATTCGAGATTCTAGCTACTCTCTCTCTCTCTCTCTCTCTCTCTCTCTCTCTCTCTCTCAGCGTGTTAATGTATGTATTTGAGTCATCAATTCAAAATGTTTCCTATACATCTAAATTTTGAGGCACTTCCAATTTCTTTCAGTCAGAAGTAAATGCAAAGAATCTGGAAATTTACCCCTCAAATTAGACTACCTTACATGACGGCTTCAAAATGCATGTATATTTCCTAGAATCAGTCTTCACACAAGTTTACATGTTTATATTTACATGGTCTTTCGAATTTACTAATGTGTCGAGCATTTGTGCATCTTATTCACTCATAGGAACGTAGGAGATTATGACTGGAAAGCTATTTCAAAAAGTGGGAAAAACTGAATTTTTAGAAATACACTCGGGTTAAAGGGTAAATGTGGTTAATCTTCATAAAAGAAATGAAAAAGAAAGCGAAATCTTATCTAAAAACTATTGATACCACGTATGTTTCAGTTTACCAATTTTCACATACATACGTACAAACTACTTGTAGTAACTTTCTCTTCAACTGAAAAGGTTTAGTTGGAAAAAATGTTAAAAACATCTAAAAGTTATAAGCATGGACAATTCTGTTCTGCACCTGTTCCTAACTAATATATTTGCTTTTTTCATCTCTCTATTTCATTCCAAATATTTCTACCACCCAAACGTCATTATAAAGTACACACCAAAACCTAAAAAGACAGATTTCCCTACATGTAGGAAAACTTTACACATTTCTAAATCACTCATTTCATATCATTTTTGCAAACATATCAAAACAATTCGCCAGGTGTTTCGCCTATAAACCGATAAATCAATTAAGAGTCCACACAGATTCAATTTTATGCGCCTTTTTTTCGCGACTTCTTGCAGGTGTGAAATAGCGGGGTATTGTTTACCTTTCTTGATCTCAGTGCTCCGACGAAATCTTCAACTGATGACGTACCCTGACCTTTTTGACCCCGCGGAATGTTGCCTCGATTCACTGAAGAGTTCCGTTTGCTAGTGCCACCAAGAACTAATATTTTTGAGGTAATCTACATTTGACCTCTATGGGTCAGGAATACTTCGGAGGACATCTATATATATCCACATGCTATGTCAACACTCTTGAACTACCAATATGAATTCCACTGTTGTTTAATATCATTTTATTAGCATGAATTTCTTGCGCTATGTGTTTCACCTTCTTTTTCTTCTTCCTGCTGTGTATATAAATTTATAAAATGGAAGGATTCAGCATATATATTTTTGAGTTTCATACCTCATTTTTCTTTATTAATTCATCCTTCAAGATATGTTGTTTTTTTTCAGTGAAATTAAATATTGATATCGTAAATAACTTCATAACCTTGAATATTTCAAATTTCCCAACGTATATACATGTATAGTGCATTTGATTGAGGTTTATATATATTTTTTTAATCTTCACCGTCAGCATATACACTGAAACACTATGCCCCCCATGGTAACACAGTTCTGGAGTGGGACGTAACATATGGCCAATGTTGAAGATTTTCAAATGTAGGTCAAAGGTCACAGTTGAGGTCACATGATCAAAAATACCAATGGAAGGGTCTTGTCATAATGAACACTCATGTCAAATATTAAAGCCTTACCCTTGACAGCGCAATAGTTATGGGCTAGGTTAAAGTTGACAACAGACTGACAAACAAACAGACAGACAGGACAAACACAATATACCCCCGGGATCTTTCGATCCAAGGTCATAAAAAGTTCACTTCGTATGATCTTGTCCTCTTTATAACTCAAATCCTCAAACAAAAGCAACTGCCTCGAAGAAAGTACTCAATTTTTTTCAAAAAAAATCTGCATATGTTGACGTGTAACGTGAAATCCTCGTAGAAATGAACCGTTCTAATACATGTAATCAGATGAAATTATACATAGTTATATACAAGATGAGGTAAAGGTTTCCGCAATTTAATTTTAAAAATCTGTTAAATACAAGTTAGTACATATCGCTATTCTTCAGTGCAGTTTGCAGTGCTAAGAACTGTACAATACAAATATAGCCCTTTTATGAGGTCAATCTATAGATATATCGACTTCACAGAAAAAGAATATTGACTGAGCATGCACGAAGTGCGAAGTCGATATGCTTTTCTGTGAAGTCGATATACCTATGGATTGACCGAATCAAAGGGCTGTATTTGTTATATTATTTTCTTTGGTAAAGAAAGAGACAAACAAATTTATTTTGTAGAAATGTGTTAGTTTTAAAGACTTTTCACCATTATAAACACATCTTTGGATTTTCCCTAAGTTATTTTTAGTAACTCAAGTCAATATCACAAAATATAATTTTGCATGCAAACCAATCAGATTTATTGAATTAATACACACACACACATAGAGAGAGAGAGAGAGAGGACCTTCCCCCATACGTCCATTTATACAAGTAATACATGTACAAGTACTTGCTTTCAGGATACAATATGGTTATTTCAAGACCATTAAAGTACTTGGAAAATTGAGGGGAATGTTTACCTTTCTTATGTTATATTACTGTTGATTGAGGACCTGTTCTAGATTTGAAGATTTTTTAATGTGAAGGAAACATACATGTAGCTGGTTGTTTTGATCAGCCAGTAAATTAATGTGTAAATAGGTATTATGAGACACAGACATGACCATTGTGTAATCTTAAAAATTTTTACTTTTCATTTCAAGAACAATGAGCGAGATTTCTGCTTTGAATAACTTTTATTATTTTTTTTTTCAATTTATATTTTCTGAATAAAATTCAGTAAAACTAAAGTAGTGTCAAAGGTCATCTGTTTCATGGCTCGCATAACTTAATCTTTCTTTTAATGTTTTGACATTTGTTAGAAAATAAATCTGAAATCTTTTGTTTATTAATAATTGACATTGGTAGCAAACGCTAAAAATTATTTCTTGATTCTTTTGATGTACCTTTTCCATTTCTGTAACAAAAAAACAAAAAAAAGATTCAATGCACTTACCAATTTGTTACTTTCGTACAGGCGCGGTTCCAAGATTTTTTTTCCGGGGGGGGGGGGGGGGGTCCACCCCAGTCAAAAAAATGTCCAACCAGAAATTTCTTGACAAAAAAAAAAGAAAAAGAAAAAAAGGAAAAAAAAAAGAAAAAGAAAGCGACAAAAAAAAAAAAAACACACACACACACAACAAAAAACCGTAAAACCTTTTCCAAAACGTTAAAAAAACTATTTTTGTGATGGTGATGGTGGGGTCCAAAGTCATTTTTTATTTGCTTCGATATATACTTTGAATAACTCTGCAAATTCCAAGGGCTAGGGAGGGGGGGGGGGTCCGAAATTTGATAACGTCAGTGCCCATAAATATACAAAAAATACAAGAAGAATATGGCATGGTTTTAAATCATTTTATTATGGCATCTCATAAACATAACTTATTAAAATTAAACCCTGTTTACAAATACTATAGGAAACTACATCACTCTTACTAAATACTTATAAAAAAAAATCTATGACTGAGAAATAAGTTGACCAGTCAGTAATTTGGTTACCCCTCAAGCTGATCAATAAAAATCTCAACTAAATTCTGAAAAATATTTTTTATCTCCCTGTACTGAAGAGTTACTTGATAGTGAAAATTAAACGATATGATTGATACAATTTAAAAAAAGAAGAAGATAAAAACACATTTCAATTGATGCATCAGATGAATTACATGTACTGATACAAGAACGAGTTCATAGTTTTAGAGGATTCTTTTCTTTTGAATATTTTCTGACATTAATGAATACTACAATTTTGTAGCAGGTATGATTCTATATTTCTTGAAAATGACCTTTTTCTCGAAGTTTATTTCGTCAAGGTTGGTCTTTGCATTATTTCTATACAACTTCTAGGATACATTGAAACATAAAAGGCAAATACATCCTGATTAAAAATATTATACATATATTTTCGTTTTCGGAGTACGGAGTTCTCTTGGTTTTATAAATGCATATTCAACTGCTTCCTCTCATCAATATCTGGTTAATACGTTGAAACTGATATTTCTAAGTTCAAAATTTATTTCATTGTTGTAAAGTTATTGGAATTGCACCAGCTTATTTTTAGATACTTGTAGACATGTAGAAAACCTTTATTTCCGATGTGGGGAGGGGGAGGGGATTAAAATCAAGTCTCTTTGATGACAATCAAAAAATTCAATTCAAGCAAAGTACAATAAATTTCCATGGTTGAGTAGGAGGCGCTAAAACATTTTTCAATACATATGTATTTTCTTGGTTCTTGACATTTTGACATTTAGTTGACTAAATCACCTCCCTTCAATCCGTTCCTAGAGTTGCACAATTCTCTGATATACTCACACCAGAGATGGAAGCTACTGAGAGAGAAAAATGTACAAAACCTATAAAAACTCATGTTTTAGCATAACATATCTAATGCACATAACCGTTCGCTAAATGGTACTGCTGAGTATCCACAATAACACTGGCATATCCAGGCTGAGGAACGGATGAGTAATGTTTAGGAGTCGGGATCGGGGTTTGGCTGTAATCCGTCTGATTTGTGTAGGAGTCATAAGCACAGGAAGCACGTAAACAATGCGAATAAATATCTTGAGCATTGAAATTTCTATCTTGAATCGCATGTAGATCCACCCCAACAGTATGTCCATTTTGCTGTAGATTACGAAAATGTTGGTCAGATCTGTCCTCGTGATCTGGGTATTTGGTTTGATTTTGGGGAATTGATTTTTGGGAATCAGCTACTGTGTCGGGCACGATGTTCGCTCTGTGACGCATGATAACAGATTGTTGGATTCCACGTGATTGTGGGTGCGGATGATTGTCTGTTGCTGTGAAAGTTTTTGGTGATTGTTCTTCTTTGATTGTGTTTTGACCGGTATCAAGATTTTGCTGAAAAGATGACGATAAGGATCGTTTTTCAATGTCATCGTTACCTACGTCAATTTCTGACGTGGAAGATTCCGATTGGTTGCTATAAGGATACCCGGATACAGCATCACGACTGCTGCTACGGGAACAGGGTCCAGCGGACCTGTATTCGAATCGAGGTGAAATGTTAGTCCTGCTTTCAGTTGACGTATCTAAATGAGTTAACTTGGGACTAGATGAATTCATACATGATGAAAGATGATCCATGTTCTTATATGGAAAATACTTTTCTGCTTCAAGTTTACAATGAAGTCGATCGTCTGCAAAAGACTGAGTTTGCGGATGATATGATGGATGAGGAAAGTAATCAGGGTGGAAGACGCCTGGAAACGCATGCCCATAGAGAGGCTCAAACTTCCCCATAGGGTCCTCGTAATGTGGATTTGGCTGTATTATATGACAATAGTCAGTGTTGGCCATTTCAGGAACCAACTCAAATTCAGAAGGAAATTCCTGGTTGCTTGTATTCTGTGAGTATGGTGATCGTCGATGTTTTGACTTAGCCGATCTTGACTTTCCCGGAGATCTACCTGGAAGGGTAGAGAATGGCGAAAGCTCTTTCTGGACAGTTTGTTCTAACTGGATCTGAAGACCTCTTGCTTGAACTTCACTGCAAGAAATGAATGCAATATGCCAGTAAGGTGAAGAAAATCAAACGATCGAATGCCTTTGTCAATAACACTTACAAATAAAACATATTAATAATAATGGACCGTATTTTTCTTTTTTTTTTGTAATACTTACCTTAAAACGTAGTTCACGCTCACTATACAGTGTGGGCGAGATGATCTGCTGTTGTGAACTATTGTAGCGTAGCTTTGTATCCAGACCCATCCGCCATCCTTGGCCAGGAAACGATAATACTTAGTGGTGACTTGACCTTTTAACAAAACTAAAAGAAAAGGCGTCGTCACAAAGGGTTTCATTTGCAGTATAGATTGATGATACAAAGAACTTGAAACAATACATGTAAATCAATCTTGTTGGTGTAAAATAAATTGGCGCGATGAAGTAACATCTATTTTTATTTTTTTTTATTTTTGGCGAATATCAATAAATTACAAAATTCTTTTCAACGCAGAAATATCCAAGGTCCAAGTATACAATATCGGAGTCGATATTCCAAGAGCGCTTATTTCTCAGAATACCGAGCCCGACAGGTGTCATCGCACACCACCATATGGCCATTGAGCTTGTGCGTGCTCCTTGAAAGGACATGCTACCACTCTTATAATAATAACTCAAGACATTGAATTTATGGAAATTAAACAAAATCAAAATGGCAGGTCGTATTTGCTTATATTCTTAGTCAAAATAGTTCTCGCTCTCTAGTTGTTGACTTTTCCGATTACCAAGCAATATAAAGACTGTCAATCAGAATTTAGTGTTGTTTATGATGAATAACCTATGATCTCTGGTACTCTTACACAAATTACATCGCATTTTGAAAACCATTTGAAAATTTTGCAAAGACAATGTTATGATCAAAAATGAAATTGAATCTATCAGTAATTCAGAACATTTAATTAACTACAGATTAAAAAGGTATTGACAAGCCTAAAAAAGTAAAATGAACAACAACTTCATACACGAAGTCATTCGAACATCTTTTTTGCGGGGGGGGGGGGGGGGGGGAGATCCTTATCCACTGTTAACCCGAGGCAGATTAATTTTAAAAAATATAACTATCTAATGGATTGATATAGAGGAGGAAAATCTAATTATTTCTACTGAAAAATAAACACCCCTCAATTTTCCTTTTTTTTTTGGATTCCCATATTTTAAAATGTCAACCTTACTCATGAACGTTTTATTGTTTGTCCCGAGCACATTGAAGATCATTAAATATTACTGGTAAGTTAATAGCATTAGGATACTATATGTCTCTGCTGACTTACGTGTGTGATGAGCAAATCTCATGTGTAGAATATCACAGGCATGGATGTACTGATACAGGGTCCTCTCTATCAGATCCTGGGGCTCATATCCAGTCAGCTGAGCGACCCTGTCAAACAACAACCAATCAAAGAATGTTATGTATTCTATTCAATATTTTTGAATACTTAAGGGAAAAATCATTTTTATTAGAAAATAACAAAAGATATTTACTGAAATAAGCAAGATTTATTTGTTTTTACCAAGCTTGTTTTGTTGCCATATTTCCATATTTTTAACATTTAAACTATAATTTAATAGCACTAGTCTACCTTTATGTATGACTTTTGATGAATCTAAAATCATATGTTATGATTTAAATAATGTATATTTACCTTGCATCCAGAAAAATGAGTTTCAAATCGAGGCTTGCACGGAACATGAACATGTTATTGAACATCTTCATTTCCGTTATGGCACTTGGCGGAAGTGAATGGCCAATGGCGACTAGTCCGACATTTTGTTGACATCCCTCGTAAGGAGACATCTCCATGTTGTATTGTTTGATTTTTAAATACCCCCCGCAGTGAATAACCTATGATACATAAGAAAAAAAATTGCATTCATTAGATTTATAAATATTATTATTGGACAAAGAGATTTTCCAAAAAAAAAAAAATCATCTGTACATGTATGATATTTAACCTATGTAGGTCATTAGAAGAATGCATGAAAAAATTTGGTATGGTTTTTAGCTTATACATGTACAGAAACGATGTGTCCTGATTATGTTCATGGTGACGAAGTGAAGGGAGGGGGTTGAAGAGATGAGGATTTATTGAACTGGATTTACCTTGTATCCACCGGAAGTAAGACCCGCATTCCTTTTGGCAAGTACACACTTCATGCGAATGAAAAAGGACCGTTCTATTTCAAATTCTGGAAGGAAACAATTCTTATTATAGGCACAATTATGTAATTTTATTTTCCGTATCACTACTTTACTTAATACCGGAACGATGTTTAAATACTTGCAAAGTGAATGTTCCATAAAAGTTATAAATTGATAATTATTTTCAGATATGTTTTGAAAATAATAAATAATTAAAAAAAAAATCAAAAAGAGAAGTTCTTAAATATCCTTTTCCAAAAGTAGAATTCTTGCCATAGAATTCTAAGCATAGTTAATATTAATATAGATATTCCATTCATTCTGTGTCACAAAAAGTAGAGAATAAAATTCAGTTAATACCTTTTTTCTGGTCTTACTTATTGATATTTATAAACTGAGTTAGTAGAATAAATCATTAACAAAATATTCAACCATGATTGCATATCATGCTCTAAGGGGTGTGTGGAATAACAAATTAACAATAATTAGTTTTCAATACGATTTTCTAAGGTACATCATTCAATTCTTTAAAAAGATTTCTCTGCTATGTATTGTGCAATTTGTGATCAAAGGAATTAATATTACATTTTTTCACAATACTTTGGACTTTTATCGGCCAAACATGTGACTGTAACGTAGTGCGCAGTACATTTATGTTAACTGTCACGTTCTAAATTTTGAATTTACCGGGTGGGAGTAAATACAAAATTTAGAACATGACATAAAACTGGAAAGTCGAAATTTCACACAGAGTCAAGTCAGTGCATGCATTACAGAATTTTCTATCTTCGAAAACGTTATTAATAGTCTTACGTCATTTTTTTTCAGCAGCCCAAGAAAGTCCAAACTATCGTAAGAAATGCCCTATCTTTGTTTCAATTTTTCTGTGTGAGTTTCTGATTTCTGTCGGTCGCTGGTCTCAGAGATTTACCTTTATAACAGCATGGATAAGGGGAGGAGTGATAATTGAGCACCGCAGTCATTTCATCATGATCTGCCGGATGTACATACTCATAAATACTGTTTCCTGTCAGTTCTACCTAGAAGAACATAAAACTCTGTACATTTCCGGAACAACTGTATATTGCATAGACCCTTTCGACTTCCTCTTCCGTTACTACTTCTATCGTGCGCAACATCGTGTCGGAATACAAAATAAGCGATTTTTATTTTTGCAACATTAAATATATTTGCCAAAATTATATTTTTTGAAGGGAAGTATATATCTTTTAATTATGATATGCTTTGCATCTGGATGGCGCCATTTTGTTTCCTTACACGATGAGCACACTTTATTCGATGCTGAAACTTTGGTCGGCTGAAAACAAGAGGACTTCTGGTTAATGCGTGTATGGTGTTGTGTTTACCTGCTACACCGGAAGTTGAATAGGTCGGATTATAAGTTAGGACAGCGGTCATTTCTTCGTGGTCTGAGGGGTGTATGTATTCAAATATACTACTTCCGGTTAACTCGATCTGTAATTGTAATACCATCAAATGCAAGCAACATACAAATATAGGGTCAAGGCTTGGCATGCTGATTTCACAGAGTGTACATGAACGTATTAGATAACATGTATTTATCCTTCCAAGTCGCATTGATTTTACAAGTTCAAAGTCATATTTCACTTTCTACTCTTTAAATTTATTAATCAGGTATGGTATAGATCTCTTCTAGACACTGCTCTATGTCAATGGTATGTATAATTTACTCCTTCGCAAAAATTTGTTGAAAAATTCTTTATCATGCATAATTTCTTCTCATGCCAAAAATATACGTAAATATAAGCCAGAAATTTATACTTTTTCAACAATTTTTTGCCAATGGAGAAATTACATGCTGTTGATAGTCATACTTTACTCCGGGGAGATAAATCTGTAACTGATATTGAGATATAAATTATACAAATATTTATCAAAAAGTCAGGTCATTTTGATTAATGCAATAATTAATTTTAGTGAATTCCATTTAATTTGTGTGTTTTATGATATATGTATCCTATAAAATATTTTATCCTCTTTTGTGATTTTTTTTGGTACTATTTTTTTTTTTAAATTAACCCATATGTGTAAAAATGTTATAATTCACTTCTAGGGAAAGGACGTATCAAGTTTTTTGAAGTTTTGCCCAGACTCATATGTAAAATTAGGTGATAATAAAATATATGTTTAAGTCACTCAATGTGATAGATGTGGGTACGTCTTCCTTGAGTGTATGGTTTTCAGATTGTATTTCAATAACCTTTGCGCTTGAACTATAGGCAAATGAGTGATACCCATGCTTCGCTGATCAAATCACTATCAAATGTAAAGCTAAGCGATGGAACCATGGGAACTACAGACGAGAAAAAGGGGAAAAGTTCATAAGGGAGAGTAATAAAAATATATTTTACAGAAACATTCCTCTTTATACGGATAACATACCTTATTTAATAATTTTGATTAACTTTAACAGATTTGTAGTGCCATCTGACGTAATTCTTAAGCGCACAAACTTATTGTAGTTTATTTTCTATAGTACACTACTTGTATATATATATCGGCAAGATTATTGGGAGAGGGGACCATGTTTCCTATAAGGGAGTGCATTTACTTTGGGGAATAGTAATAGACATCGCAAAAAAAAGACTGTATTGATGTATATTTCATTTTTGTCCTGATAATAACAAGATGCCGAAATTACTTTATAGTTAATTTCATTGTTACTCGATGAGAAATGTCCGAGAAGAATTCTCAGTGAATTGGTGATTAGAAATTCTCTAGTTAGCGACATATATTTACAATATCTGTAAATAATAACCTTATGGACTCTAGTAGGTGCAAACGATAAATTTAAAAACAATAAATTTATTTTATTTATTAAAAACCAATTGTATATAAAACTTGATCTTTACCTGTGACAATCCCAAGTGGACGGATGCAGTTTCGGATATGTACATAATTTTCCCGTCTGGAGCAACAACGAATATGAAGCCATCTAGTGTCTGAAAAAAAAAAGAAATCTTAATTATTTACTATTAAAAGTATTGCATGTACTAAAATAATGCTTGGTAATCTTTGTATGTCAATCAATTTGATGTAGTAAAATATAAGTTATGTGTATGATTTCAACTTTTATCAAGCCACGTATTTACCAAGAGATCTGAAATTTATTAATGAAAAGATAGGTTAATTCTATATAATTTTTTTAATGTATATTTCAGGTTTACGTCATCAAACGAATTATAGGAGTATTGAATCACACAAGTAAATCCGTGTAGGAAGAAAATAAGGTTTTTCTATTCAACAATTTTCCTAAATGCTTATAATAATTAATATACAGTTAAAGCATCTTAATTCCAGAAACACGTCATTAAAATAATTAATTTTCATTATATTTTTTACGGAACAATTTTAATAAATTAATGTGCAATATATCTTATAAGCTCACTGGTTACATATATGGTACATTGTACATGTACATAGATAATATTAAAAATAACTTTCATGTTCGGAACCTAAACTTTGGTTCTTAAGAAAAGTTTTCTGTCCATGGTGTGTACATGTAAACTTAAATACTTCTAGTTAAAATTACTAAATAAAAATAACATCGATAAGCACAAACTGAAAACACTGAACTCCTTATAAAATTGCAATATACACGGCCTAATAACTATTGACTTTATATTTTGCATCATTAAACTCAATAACAAGGAGTCAAAGGCCTATATTTTCTCAGGTTTTTTGTCACAAATTAAGTCTTCAAGCATCGACTTGGTTCTTTATTTGACATTGATTCACAATCAGATTTTTTTGTCTTCGGTGGACACTTGGCGCTACAATAACCACTCAAGAATTGTTCAAATAACCCCGAGTGCATAAGCGGACTCGCACGTTTCTGTTTTAATTGCTTTCTTCTGGTCTGGTTCCAACGAGGCCATATTATAAGCGTTTTATCATAAAAGATAACGCATTAACGTCTTTTTATATCGAATGTGGATCCTTAACAAAATCAATTTCGCATTAAATAGGAAGTCTCCATTTGACAGGAAAACAGCCTCGCAGTGAATAACAATCAGTGAAGTAATTGGCTAACACGTAAATTCACTTTCTTGTTCTTTTATCTGTTTTTCTGCAAAAAGGCGAGGATAAGATGTAATTAAAAGTAGCTTTTTCTCGGTTCTTAGCGATAGCGAGAAGCTCGAGCTGCCAGACAGGATTATAATTAGCGATGTGAGCCGCTTGTCACCACTGTATCCGCACACAGCGGCTACTGCTGGGGATAAAATCAGTTTACGCCATAGCTTTCTTCAAAATAAATAAGAACACTTCTCTTATATTTTAAAATTTGTAATAATAGTTTGCATTTAAAAACTGTTTCTTTCTAAATGATAAATTATGTTTAAAAAATCCAATACATATTTAGAAAAATCACAGTAAATTTAAGAGGAATTCAAAACCATTTTATAATTTAAGGACTTTCTAAATGTTGTTACTTTTGAAATTACTAATTGGAGGTAAGTTCACATTTTTAGCATGATAATTTATTATTTTTTAAATGTATTATTTATCTCCACCTGTTAAATTCAAAATTTACAACAGGTGACGAGCTCAAAGTATAATTGATATAACGCTCTAGGTGGGAACATATTTTAAGCAAATAATTTTATACTAATAAAAAATAATATATAATAATAATTGAATTAAATAAATAAAATAAATAAGTTGATAAATGAATAAATTAATATTATTGTGATTTTTTTTCTTTAGAAATCTCTATGATATATCCATGTCAAATAACAAAACGATTTTTTTTTAAAGTTTTCTGGAAATATTTAGTCTGATGCAGCCAGATTTTAACTAGAAAAAACAAAATTGACAACTGTATCTTATCTTCCAGTTGCAGGCCACTGTCACTGACGCAGGATTGTCACACAGGAAGTAAATATATTCATACTCACGAACTCCCGAGATTTGCACGAGACTGATACTACCTATTTTTTACAAGTGGTTTGTCGACCCAAGAAAGGATTTTATACAACTGGACATTATTTATCTAAGTTCATATTTGTGCCATTGCGTTTACTTTGCGCTCTCTATGCTTAACAGTCCTATACTATTATCAAATCTTGTGGTTCTTCTTTGAAATAACATGAAATTTCTTATCAGAAAAGAACTGGGTTAACAACATCTAACTAACCAAGACCTTACGTACAAAATCAACAATTATATAAATTTCTCCTACAGTTCATCATATGCTAATCATATGCGCATTAATTTCCAACATATTACAATAGATTTCAACGAAGTGCCGTTAATTCAACTTTCAGTTGCATAACATAATATGAATCTAGGGTAAGGGTACCCGAATAGTGAATATATAAAAACAAAACTCCCTAAACTAGAAGCAAAGCATGATCCGGAATAGAAAACAGAAAATTTGCATGGTAATCAAGGGCTGAAGTTCGATCTGCTGTACCATAGATAAATGATACATTGACATTTATGGTAATCAGTCTGATTTCACGTAACACGATATCTGAGAGAGAGAGAGAGAGAGAGAGAGAGAGAGAGAGATTACCTGGAGAAGGTGTGATCCAAGTTCCTTTTCCAGCAAGGTTCTTGGCGGTGACCTTTGACCCCAACCATCCCCTAGTCCTGAAAAAGGAAAAAAAAAACTATACACATTTTTTTTTTAAATAGACAAATTCTCTGTTGCATGCATGCATGTATGAATGAATTTTTTTTTTTAAGTTGCTTTGAGAAATCGGTTTGAGACTTTATATGTGAGCAATGTAATTATTATGTTGAGAAGTTTATCAAACCCAAGTATTTTACGTTACGATAAGGAGTTTTCCAGTCCCCCCCCCCCCCAAAAAAAAAATGTTTAGAAGATATTCGATGCTAGTATTCAGGTTTATTCATCACATTCATTTTAACTTCCACTCGCCAATTAAATGATAAAACATTCTTTTGTGGACAAATGTAGAAGTATTTAAATTAAGCTCAAGTCATGGCATTGGTGTTTTAATGAGGAATTTAATCAATCTCCAGACAACCTATGCCTCGGTTAAAGTTTTCAATTAATTGTGAATGTCCAATTGAGCTTCATCGTTCAGCAGACGACACACGATTTCACCGCGCGATGTGAACGAAATGTACTCATCGGAACATATTGGTTCTTTACCAAAACTCCCTTGGGGTCCCGATATCACAGCAGGGTAAATACGACAAATGGTTAAATCGTTATTAGGTCCTGGATGGTAATTGAAGGTTGTCGATTTGTAGAACAAACGGTGGTTTTAGATGATAGTGGATCTTTTCTTGTAAACTGGATTTGATTTATCAGGAATTTACTAATACAATGCTGCAGAAATACAGAGCAAGAGCAATTTTTCTCTTTTTTCCCATTTTTCTAACCTACGGAAAAAATAACATTCTACACATATCTTTGTACAAAGATTGCAATACATGTATTATTCCTACTTGTATTTTTAACCATACTCCTAACTTCTTTTAAAGAAGTTTTTGAATGAAAAAGTTTAATTTTTTATTTTCTCATTTAGATCAGTAATTGTACACTGACTTTTGTCATAAATCAGTTACATGTATTACGAAATATTTTATAGAAATTAACCAGAAAATTGAACAATTCAAAAATAATTCTAAAATTGTAAATTAAACAGACTCAAAAAAGAATTAAACCTGATATTTTTTAAAGCTTATTAAATTCAAACTGTCACTTTTTGTATAATGCTTTCAATTTTCACTGTACAGACAGAAGAGGCAATGCAAACACAGAAACCGGAAACGTTGAACGGGCAGATTCCGGAGATTAAATACCATCTATAAAAGGATTCGCAAGTTCAATATTTATATTATTATTCAATGTCAATAGCGAGTGTTTAGACGTTTTATAGCGAACTCCGTCAAAATAGACCAGCGACTTTGGGTTCATCGCTGTAGGTCTAGGCACCCTGCAATAACTACACCTTATAAACTTCTGTGTTTGCTGAGAATTCTTCAATAATCAAATATTTGAATTTCTTTTTTTTTTTTCTACACCATGAAGTGAAAGGAAAATGAAGATATGATTTAATTTATAGCAGCTTTCATAGCGACGATTCTGGCTTTCACTGAATATATTCTCGATTTTAATCTATTTTCTCAACTGATATAAGTATCTACGAATACGATCGCACAATCATTTTCTTTATAATAAATGTGAAATCACTCTCTAAAAGAAAGCGCATTGTCTCAAAAGTTGGTTCTTTTTTCATAAAAATGAAACTAACCAGGGGTAGTTTTTTGAGAATATAAAATATAGAGGTAAGTATACATGTAGTATTACCCAAAACCTAAAATACTTTATGCTAGTGAAAAGAGAGGCCTAGGATGATATTTATTTTTTTTAATCAACAATTAATCAACAAATACAAATAATTTTCATCTGTATTGTATTTTTCGTACGTGTAGATTTACATCTTTTTTTTAATTAATCCATGGCAATGTTTTGCATGATATACTCGTAACAAAAGATAACGAATAAACGAAGAAAATATCAATACTGTTATTCGATGAAAATCTCGACAGACTGACAACTATACCCTGCATTAACGATCAAACTTTTGTGTCGGGTTTTAAAGGTAAAAGTAAACATTATGTCAACGAACTATCAACATTTTTTACTTTAAATGGAGATCGGGTTTCACGACAGTCTGTCAGAAATGGGGTCTCAGGAGGCCTTGGTATATTTTTAATTTTTTAATTAAATTCAAATAGTTTAACAATCTTTTTTTTTTCGTTGGGTCAAACAAGAAATAAAGCGTATTAACTTGATTTAGAATGATAGAATTTTACTGTTAATATATGTATAATCATTAGATGTACATGTACATTGTATATTCAAAATTTTGGTTTTTAATAATCTTGACATTAGAAATCAGTTGATTTTTCTCCTAAATATTATGGGATATTTTATGAAAAGAAGGATATATTTTCTAAAAGCCATAATATTTTCTTCTGAAAAAAAATTAAAAGATAATAAGTTTTCCATATGGCTGTCGACAAACATAACCTGTAAATTTATTGTTTATGTTATCCAATACGCTTTCGACTCATTTATGCAAGTTCGTGTTCATGAAATACTAAAACTCTCAGAGTTAATATTTTCCTTGTTCCCTTTTACAGGCATAATTGTTTTCTATAAAATAAGGTTAAATGACAATATGTCAAACTATTGCTCGATATCTTTTAGTTTTTTCCGTATCTAATAAATAATTTATTATTAAATTCCTCAATCACTTCTGTGACAGCGGGTATTAATCCATGATACTTCGATAAATTCTTTTGACTAGAAGTGCATTTCATAATCAAAAGTGGCGATGACCACCTTAAATTCCAAACTTGTGTGTTTGACTCCAATCATAAACAAGATGGGGACGGAGCAGAAACATCGAGTTTTTGTATCTCTTAACATCAATAGCTATTTTTCAAGCGCACCTGTCCGTTCTATCCGGAGAAGAACGGAAATTAAAGGAAATAGTTATCGCACAATTTGACAATCCTTTCGGAATACCCCGTGTCCTAGAGTCGCGATCAATGTTCCGAATCGCCGGGGTAGACGTTTTTTTTTCCTCGCACCTTGACACACGTGAACATATTCTCCAGGTGTCGAAAGCAAACTTGGATTGGAATCCTTGTGTAAACTTCTGACACCTTGGAATAAATAGCGTGAATAAGGAAAAGCAGATTTATCTAATCGAGGCCCACTATTCCTTCTCAATTTGTTAACGGGTTGGGGGTCCATTTTAATAAAAATTTTCGTCGAGGGCCAGCAGTATTCGGCAATGCTTGGATAGATTAGCGATGATAAAATGAGGGAGAATCTCCGATAACTAACACAAAAGAATGATTAGGAGGCAAAGGCGACATAGAATTAAACGATAAGGGGAAAAGAAGAAAGTTTGTCAACTACAAGAAAATAGCTTCATTGATTTCATTTAATAGACCTATTTCGACAAATCCCATTGGATTTGGGTTATTAATAATATTGCTGACATTGGATTTACAAACAAGACGAATATTTTTATTGCCCTCTTAATGCTTTTGTGTTTTGAATATCTACTTTTGAATTTGGCTACATTTACTGTTTTCACAATAAAAGTACGACGTAATGCATGTGCATGTATATCCGACAGAAAGCAATTGAAATTGCTCATAAAAATTCATTTTTTATGAAGATAAATAAATGTACACCATACTTAGATACATCTTTTATTAGTTCGTACGCTGTCAGCGCCCTATCTATTTTTTAATTATAAAATATTTTTTTAAAAAGTAAATTTATTATCAATAGCATAAACAAAGTGACTAAAATCTATGAAACAGGCAAAAAATCTAGTTGATGTATTTTGGGTAATTTTTCTATGCTGCGCACAGAAACTAGTAGATGTATGTTTGTGCAACTTAATTTTGTTTTGTTTTGTTTTTCTTCTCCACAACATTTTCTTTCATGTATCATACACAATGTTTGCTTATGGCTTATAAAACCATAGTTTACATGTACTTTGAAAAAAAATGAATGAAAGTCCTTATATACATGTACATTATATATCAAGACTATGCACACGTGCATCTGAATTAGGCAGAACAAAGTCGCTTGTCTCTTGATATTCAAGCCCCTGATAAGAAATGTACACACGCTATCATTTAATTTAGTGCCCAACTTTTGATTTCTGAAAAATTATTATTTGGGGTCAATTCAAGGGGGCACATTTCTTCTATGTTGCACTTTTAGACCTTGTGAATTTCCAGATCTTCAAAGGAATAGGGGTTCCCAACCTTAACAAATTGTGAGAGATTTATGGGAGGGGTTAAACTTAGTACCCCGGGACCATACCAATTTATTTACAATGGCTTGGAACAAATTTCATCCGAGTATAAAAATGAACGAAAACTACGCATATAATGAGTTTGGCGATAAAAATTCTAATTTTGTCGCCAAAGGTTGATAAGTATGCAAATGTATGTTTTCTTTTGTTTTAAAAATTACCTTGAGGATGGACGAGTGTTGTTTGTTATACTTAAACTTTTAGACGACTACATTTATATCACTAACAATAATTAGTGCTGCCATCTTCCCTCCCTAAGAATCTGACGAAAATATTTTGGATACTAACGTTCTGTTGAATGAACGTCGAATCAAGCATTTTTAATAATTTAACTTTAAATCTATATAATTATCATTAATACGTAATTATCTTTAAAATTTTACTTTCCGTGAAAACGATGAATGTTGAGTATATACTGTATACATGTGTGACTAAAAGTCATTCTTAAGAAACCTTGAGCAAAAACGAATTCGCATATTGTCATAAATAAAGAATTCATGAAATGTCAGTTATTTTCTGTGACAAACGTTTGAAAGATAAGTTAATTTACATTTTAAGAACGTTTGGTACGGAATCTCTGCACAGGTGTTCGCGAGGCTATCTTTATTGGAAAATGTCGACACCGCTTATGTCAATAAAAAAGACAACAGGGCCGCTATAATCCTTAACACTTATTGCTCGTTATTGAATTGGCACGTCAATAGTAGCAAGCAAGAGTCCACATTTTTACTCGCCGACAGATAGTCCTCGATGAATTATCTTCAGATCTTAAATTACAAGAAAAACTTCGAGGCGGGGCTACCATTTGGTCAATCCTTTTATAAGCACAGTATGACCGGAACGTTCCTGCCATCGTAAACTAGAATTAGAATTAAGTTCATTGTAAAAATCTTCTGTTGAACGCTTCGTTTGCTACATGTATAAGTATCAATAGATTTCAACTGCTTGTGATTATCCTACCCCCAAAATAAATGTATTGCAAAGTCGTTTTAGAAAACCCAGAAGAAAATATAGTCGATCACGGTAAAAAAAAAAAAAAAAAGGTATACATGTACATGTAGGTATTAAGTGTTGCCTTTGCAATTCTTGAATACTTATTTAATGATAACCAATCGGATTGGACAAAAGTTTTACCAAATACGATTGTGCTACTGAACACAAAGAAAATTAACTATAATATATATGAGATGTTCCAACCGATAAATGTATACAATGATAAAAGTGGCAAAGGGAAAAGAGTGTAAAGAAACGAGGGAGTAGGGCCTTATTGCAGATTAGAATAATTACGCTGGTCATCAGAATCGATTTGATTTTTTTTTTCATATAGGCCTATTTGTATACAGATTTAACAATATATATTTTATTACTTTGGTGGCCTGAATTTGGGTCTACAACCCAAAATAAGACCATTTCAACGTCTATCATTTCTTTATTACAAATATAATTTCATGATGTTATAATAAATTTGTTCTTGTTTCATTATAAGTTTTACAATGTAGAGAGTAATGTAAAGTGTTTTCATTAGTAGATCGACAAGAGTACTGTGTTATCTGGAAGTACAGCCTTAAATTGACCTGATTTTAGGGAGACTTAGGGGACATCTTCTAGCTTTAATGGATTTTGATTTGAGTGATACATTAAAAAGTATGAAATGTAATTCGAAATATTTACAATATCTAGACTGATAATTTAATATATTAGGTCAGATCCAGGACTTTGGTTAAAAAGTCCCGTGTCCATTTGACTCTGTGTGACACTGTCCGTATGTTAAAACCTTATCTTGGGATCACGCTAATGTCCGTAAAGTCACACCTGTAGGGCGACGTGGCCGTTCACAGCTTCAGTAGATAAACAGATGCCGGGGCACACTAAACACACAAAACCCTCTGACAAAGTATCCAGCATCAAAACAATAGATCGAGAGGGTAACTTTCAAACGAAGATCCGTAAGACTGCAAAACACCTTATTCGGACAAAGTTTTTGATCTCTCACAAGTTCACGTTTCCCTTAATAGAAACAACGTCGGTTCATATAAGTCGACCCTGATGACCAAACCGAATGACCTACATTTCTTCTGCTATTTCTATCAGGTTGAGTGAATAAATTTTGTACTGTTGGTCAATTATTACCTATATAGTGTAAATATAAATATACAAAACTATAGGCATGTATGAGGTCCAAATAGTTCTGAAATAGAAATCTCTTATTGAAATCTGATAAATCTGCCGAGCATGCTTTATCGCCTTTTTGCATGTTAGCAGATGTATCTGTGCTGGCAATGGCGATGATTTTCGGAATAGACCTAACAGAAGTTATAGTCATTTGTGCATTTATGCCCGTCCTTTAAGAATGTTTCGCACAGATACATGTATATATGTGTTAGTATGATCATTAAAATGAATGCAGAATTTCAATACTGTAGAGAGGATTTTATAATGAGGGGTAATTATATATTAAGTATGATAAAATATTTTGTTCAGTTAAACAAAATTTCAGCTACATTGGTGGAGGGTAAAAGATCAAATCTTTCTTTTAATTGTCAATGTATTTCATATATTTCAGCTTGATTAGTGATAAATTCGCGATAAAACATTTTTTACTTCATGTGTTCGTTCAATTCTCCCCAAATTTCAGAATGGAGCCTCAACTTTCAGCAAGACTTGAAAGAGAGCATAAACCATATGGTGTTGGTGTTATGTTACTGTACTGTTTTGAATTTTATTTGGTTTCAAGATATCTAGAACGTACAGGAAGAATTGAAATGATTACCCGTTTTATGGCGGCTATTTCTACATTATTTTTCTTTTTAACTTACTTAAGAGACTATCTTAGTACCTACCGTCAATATCCAAACACGTCATGATTTTTTAAATCAATATTTATAACAGAATATTTCATATATTATTGATTGCAATAAAAGTACTCGGAAAGCGAATTGATTCTTCATATATATGTAATAAGATAACATCCATTTATATTTAAAAAAAAAAATGTAACGTCAAAGACAAATAAATATAACAGACTAGAATTTAATACTTGTACTCCATTGGTTGAATGCATCTGTAATTGTTATTATACCAAGACCACAAACGAACAGTTCAATTTCCACAGGATTTTCTTAAAAGTAAATTTGTTTTACAATTAAAGGTTTTATTGATAAATTTGATACATGCTATTCTCAATGAATTTAACGCAGATTGGGGAAGCTGATCTTAACGTTGTGAGTTCGAATCAAACTGCGGAACCTGGAGACCAGTCCATATAAACCGAGGTCCCCTCTGGCTGTAGGAAAAGGGTCGTACGGTTCAATAGCTTTAAATACTGAGAATAGTTCCAAAATTTTATTCCTCCATTGGCAATTAGTTTAAACTTTATTTCATTTAAATAAATCATCATATGTACACAATAGATAATACATGCATGATTCGGAAACAAGTTGTTAAAACTTATATATTCCGATTCCTTATATTAACTTTCAACCATAAATATAGAACATTTGCCCTTGTTGCATGAAAAATATAATAGAAACAATAATTAAAAAAAATAAAGAATAAATGAATGAAAAAAAAAATGAACTAAAAAATGAAAAAAAAAAAATATTTGGAGAGATATCATAAAATGAGTTCATTCACATTTAAACATTACGGTTAGAAAGTAAGGAATAAACAGTGGCGGCGTCCCAATAGCAATGAAATGTTCTCGAAGGGACGTAAAATAGATCATTTCGAAAATCAAACATTAACCCATTATATGAAGGGAAGAAAACGCTTCAGCAACAAAACCGTTGCTGAATAGATTTTTTTTTTTTTTTCAAATTTTTGATGTCAACACTTCCGGTTGGAACATTTGACCTACTTTCGTTTTTGAATCCACATATTATCTCCACATCTTTTACAAAACGACTCTAATTCAAACTATGAAACTTTCAATGGTGATTAGATAATTCTTTGAATTTTTTTTTTTTTTTTTTTAACTTAATTTTATTTGTTTGTTTGTATTGGGGGGGGGGGAGGGGAGGGGTGTAAATATAAAATATAGTCTTAGTTTTCTTATACACCAGAAATGGCAACAAATATTAAGTGCTTACCGTCGGGGAAGACCGTCCTCATTTTGAGATAGCTGGTACATAGCCGTATGATGGACGCCTTGTCCAGCTGACTAGTAATGGCGGACGGAAGGGGAAGTAACTTCGCCAGTTCATAGAACTCGGCGTTTTCTTTCTCGCGTCTTGTTCGGGCGGCCGTCTTGGATTTGCACTTCATATCATGGCAACTGTAAATGAAAAATCAAAAATTGACTTCTTTACTGTTAATGTAAACAATTTATCAACTTAATCAAATTTAATTCAGGAATCCTATATATACATGTGCACACATTTCATAAGCAGTTCAGTTACATAGAGAAATGTACATATGTACAAATTCTATCCGTCTAAATTTAAACGTAAATATATATACATTTTTTTATGACCATAGAGTCAAATGTTCAAGTCAATTCAAAAATGTGATTTCAAAACAACTAAAACAACAGAGGAAAAAATAAAAAGTCTCAAATTGCGTAATTTTTGAATTCACAAATGTCGAAACATGTGTAGTAAATTATAGGCATAGAGCTTCTAAATCATATTTACTCTCATTAAACGTTTGTACAGTGTGTAATGTAACCTTTAGATTTTTATACTACTGATTATTTCTAATCGTTACATGTATTACAAATAAAAAGAAAAAAAAATCTTGTTGAGTAGAAGAGAGTGGATTTAGGTATATATTATAATCAAATTTAAGACAATACATGTAGTTAATTATTTAGTGCAAGTGAGCTAAATAAATTTCACGGAATGTGCATTTTTATGGTCAATCTATTTTTTTTTTAAGTAAAATAGATTATAGTATGCCAGTGTTTAAATTTCATGTAATACATATAGTGAGACTTGAAAAAAAAAAATTCAATTTTTTCTCTTCCAAAAGAATAAATCTATGTTAGAGTTGATAAGTTCAAATAATGAAATATAAAATTAACTATTTATTTTAAATCAATGCTGTGCGGAATGTACAGTTTTATACCTTTGTTTGTTTGCCTGTTTGATAACAGTAACATACCCCTTTTTATGTGTCAAAATTTTGAAGAACTCAATGCACATCGAAAATCTGTATCATTTCGTAGAAAACTGACAAAACATGACGTCATAATGCAACCAAAAAGGGGTAGGGGGGGGGGAGAGGGTTTCCCGTCAAAATAATTATTCGCATTGGTGAATCGTGTCTTATACGAGTCTAAGGATATCAATGATAAAGGGAGTCCATGCTCGTAAAGAGAACAGTGTGTAAGAGAAGATACATTAAAAAAGGCAGAAAACACGGAAAATGTTTAATGCAAGAATTATTGTCCAAACTTAAATGTAGTGTGTTTTCATATTCACTGTTATTAAAAAAACTATTTGTGAAAGTCACACTTATTTTATAAAAATCAAAAATGTTTCAGATCTATTTTTAGCTGTACAACAATCATCTATAGTACGTGAACCTAATTCATTCATAGCCCGCTTTCGCGTTCATCTTATATCTGAGGTATAGACAGACGGATAATTCAATATAAGAAAATAAACGAATTCATTTAAATGGATAATTAAACAAACAAACATGATATATGTTGAAGTAATCACACTTTTTAATTCACTGATGTTTTCCAATATACATAAAAACCGAGAACTCTGTACACGTTCACCTCTCACCTTCAATCACCGCTCTATTTACATATCAATAAATAACTCCTCTCTCTCTTTATCTCGCCCCAGACAAAAAATTGATTTAAGAAATAATCCCTCTATTGCTCCGAGTGTCAAATGAGTTGCCGAACATCTCCGGAGAGCTCAATTTCTATCAGTTTACTGGTAAAAATTTATCTAAACAATAGACCTATCGGGTGCATCAATTTTCGCTTTCAAGTGGCCGGACTGTTTGAAGTCATTGACAAAGCTATTATCAGTGTGTCCACAATCGTTGATTATTTTCCCTCCTAAGATCTTGGGTATTGTTATTAAATCACCAGATTATCTACCTCAGTGCTGGGTAGTTTACACATTTTCGGAGAGTTTTAATAAGTTTCACATACATGAACTTGTCGTCAATTTAAAACCCTCTACCTCATTATGAGAATTTTTTGGAAAGGGGAGGGGGTGGTTTTTGCTACACTCTCCTCCAAATGCGTGGAACATCCTCTTAATTTCTAGCTGGATTATGTATTCACTACTTCAAAGATATCGATATTTAAACACTGAAGCATACTTATTATTTTCACTGAAATTTTCCAGCCATCAAAATTTTTACACTGAAAATGCAATTTTGGAATAGATCAATTAAAAATTGGCGAATTAAGAAATCCTCAATAATTTTGTTAAAATACATGCATCTATCCTCATGCATAAGTCTATGATTGGATTTACCTAACTACATGTATAAAATTTTGATTAAAAAAAAGAATTGTGTGTGTATATATATGTTTTAGGTTAAGGAGTGGGGAGCAGGGTAGGGGGGTGGGGGATTTGTGATCAGTGTTTCCAGTTTTCTTTGTTATTTACAGCATATTTCTGATACATTTCAATTATTATTACAAACATTGGACAACAGTTTCCTCGATCGCGAGGTCCCCTTCATTTCAAGTGATCTTTAGAGTGGCTCTTCAAATATCTTGTATCAGTCATTCTTCAAGTCATTCGTGACCGCAGATAACCTCTGTACGACTTGTCACAGATTTTTTGATATCTATCATTTATTGCCCTTTTATATTCGAAATCTCTTTGCTTCTGTCTGTATTTCTACTGGGAAAGTTTATCAAATTATGGTTGATTATTTTCGGCATATTTTACAATCACATAAAATTCGTGTTGGATAACAAATGAATGCAAAATGTAAAAATAGAAGATAGACAGACATTATAGAAAATATTTTCTTATATTTCTGTGATCCTTATAAACATTGTATTTATCTAATAAATAAATTCCAGAGGAGGAATGCATAAATACATCACTGTCCTGTTAACGGGAGAAAAAAATGTAGTACTTTCAAAAATTTGAATTAAACTTTTGTCTTTGAAATATACCACTCTATTATCGGTTTCAATTATGATTAATTTAAAAAGAAAAAAGAAGAAGAATTCTTTAAATGTACAAATATTGTATAATTTAAGAACTGTCTATTAGCTTGTGAATAAACAATCATGAATTAAATATCAAGGTACGATAATGAACAATTGACACGCTTTGTTTTAGGTACAGACACTTAATACACACAACGTTATCAGTAAATTCCCCGATGCACGTGCGTCGCTACATGCATAAATAAACACTAATTCTCTTCAATAATGCGCGTGAAATATTGGGATTGAAGTAAAGATCGTCTGATAAATGAGAGAAAGAGTTAAGGTCCATCATTTTATTAGTAATTAATTTTTCATCGTTTCTTGAAAGAGGAAACCGAATTCCGGAATCCTGACGGGTTTTTGCGGATCAGAGAAAGCCGGTTTTAATAAGATTGGTCTCCGAGCAGTGTTTATGTTGGGTTATCATTTATTGAGGTGACCTATACACTAGGGTTAATAATTCTACAATAAGTTTCACCCCTCTTTATCTAAGAGTCCAAAATTATAACACGATAAACATTGTGTAGAAGGTTTCGAACACAAGTACCGTCTGATAAGAGTTCTTGTGAAGATTAACGGGTTAAGAGATTCTTTATACTGCTCATATAAATAAGAGGAATTTATTTATGAAGAATTTAATTGGAAGGAAATTTCTTGTGATTTATATTTCCCTATTAAGAAGCAATTTTGATAGTGTCCCCTTTCCGGTACATAAATGAATAATTGGTAAACGCGTCAATTTTTTTTGTTTACTGTACATGGATTTTTTTTTTATTCTGCAAGAGTATTCCATTATGGATTATTAAAGAGCGAATGTGATTTCATAAATTAAAAATTTAGCTTTTCACCCTCAAATTTTACACTCACCTAAAGAACGCAAAATCCATTATTTTCTTTGTCCGAAGTTTATTTTTCATTTTAGATTTTTTAAAGCTTGAATTTATTCATATTGTACAAAAGACGATTACATATGCAATAATTTACCCTATAGTTACATGCATCCCAAAATGTGTACAACTTTAAAATGACTAATTTTCTTTGGTCTAGGGAATACCTTGAAGTGCATGTACTTGAAATTCAAATTAAGGAAACATCACTAAAATTGTTTAATAAAACGAATCACTTTTTTTTTTTTTTTTTTTTTAAAGGGGGGATGACCAATTGAAAATACAATCTTCTACAGAGGAAAAACTGTTTGAAATTTCTTTAACAGAAAAGACAGGAGAAGATTGAATCTTGGTTTACCCCGTGATAGAATAATTAAAAGCATTGTATGTCAAATTTTTTCTCACTTTAACAAAATGGACCAAATCACGTGTATCGGTCTATCCGAGACCAGGTGTGTGTGGTTTAAGATGTATGTAAAAGAAGAAATGTGTCTCTTCAAGTGGAATATTTTCTGAAAGATGTAGATGGATTCTTTTTAAAATAGAAAATTGGAGAGAGAGAGAGAGAGAGAGAGAGAGAGAGAGAGCTTTGATTCTCTTACTTTTTTTTTTTTTTTTTTGGTTTTGGTTTTTTTTTTCAATTTCATAGTTATGAAAATAGTTTTAAAGGAATAAGAATTATTGAATTTGGTCTTTATACTTACACATACAGTTAACTATTTCAACACTTTTGATGATGATTAAAACTAAAATATAATTTACAATTTTACTTGTAGTACCTAATGCAACAGGAAAACCAAAGAAAACAGAAATGAAATTAATATTTTGAAACATTTAATTTTTTCAAAGCTTCCTGTGAGATGAGAAATTTCAATGACACTTCCTCGAAAATGTCATTAATTGGGCCACCCTGCTTAGTCTCAGCAACGTCCGGGAGTGCGGGTTTTAGTTCATGTTTAAATACAGGGTTTGATTAAATATTTACCATGTAAAGAAAAATCATTTTCAGATAATATCAATACATTGCAGAGTAAAGAAAGATTTTAAATAAATTTTCTAACTTTAATCTGGTACTAATTTCCAAATCTTACCGAAAAAGGGTTGCATCTCTGCAGAAAACCACGTGACACAGGAAATCCTCGAAATTAATTTTACGTCATGATTTTGGTATTGGTTCCCAAAGAAAAAGTCAAAAGTTGAAACTAAAATTACCGGCTTACGGATTAAACGGAAAAATCACGCACAGTTAAGAGTCTATTGGTAATGCTCAAACCGTGAAGTTATTGTTCAAACCCAGGAATATACACACAGGAACGTGCTTTCAGCTCCCGAAGAAGTGTAAATGAAACTCCCGCAAATCGTGTCACAGACTCGCGATTAAGCACGCATAAGAGTTTATATTTCGTCTCAGGGACCCTCCGATCTCTCGTAGTTGGCTCAGAAGCTTCTAACAGTCACCATCTAACATATGGACAAATATATTATTTCTGTGTCCAATTTTCGAATGAATTTGGAATATTCGAAGTGTTTCTTATTTTTTCCTTTCTCTTTCGATGTGAATCTTTGACGAGTGTTTTTTAAAAGTCTTGTGAAAGAGAGATAAAATTTACTTTATAACGTATGCAAATATAAGGAGGAAACTGGATATCTACGTTGTGATTTGCATATTAAGCTCCGCCCGACGCGGCGTGTGATAACACCTTCTGATGTCAGTCACTTTGGATCTTTTGTTTGATTGGTGACCCAGGATTGATTTTTAACACTGGATTTATTACAACCTGAAGTGTAATTCCATTATTATCAAAATAAAAGATAGCGTTTGTAGAATACAAAAATTACAGGAGCATTTAAAATCGTATTTTCTAATATTTTTAAAGAAAACTTTAAGAAAAATATATTTACGGATGAAGATGCTTAGAAAATAGCAGCACACAGAATTGTCTAAATTTGTGATTAAAAGAAATCATTATTTAGTCATAATTTAAGAAATCAATATTTAAAACAATAAATAGAAACTGCGTGTAAATATTACACCAAACGTGCGCCGGGAAGTTAGAAAAAATGTTGATATTTTTTAACGTGCGTTTGACTCTGTTCTTTGGAACACAATATCAATTGATTCTCGACTGTGACTTACATACTTTATCTAATTTGATAAGAAGGTAACAATGGTCTATAATCTTTACGTATTTTGCCAGCAAATAAGAGGAGAGCATGTCGTAGTTTATTTTCCGAAAATTTATGATTTTTTCTCATATCACAAGTTTGAAGTGTTCTATAAAGCGTGCAAATGCATCAACAAGAAAGTACATTTTTAAAAAAGCTCATATACATGTAGTGGTGTCTATAACTGATAGATTTATAAGTCAATGACATATTTGATTCGACATAAATATCGAGGCTACATTTATCTACAAATGTAATGGCATTAAAAAAAGTATAGAATTGTTTATGCCAGTAAATAATATTGCGTCAATTCTTGTAGAGAATTATTAGAGAATATATCTTCATTTTATGAATTTGACCTGCTGGGCACCGTTTTAACGCTTCACTAGTTCGATATTTGAATCACACTATTTTTTATACAAATGTTATCGTCATCCAATTTATACTGTCCAAATTTTTAGAAAAATAAAATAAAATTTCAATATAAAGCACAACTTTAAAACGATAATGGCAATGAATCATTTCCTATAGGTCTCTCAAGCACGAAAAATCAGTAACAATGATTCTTTATAAATTCTTATAATTTTATAATTTACAAAATCAAAATAAACTTCTATGAAATGTTGTAAAATGTGACTGATACTGCAAAATGGGGAAAAAATTACTGCATTCATACTCATAGAACAGATGTTTTCTTTTGAACAATATTTATTTAGAAAACGATTGCAGGCGAAGTCGATAAATGTTCCTTTCATATACAAAAAAAAAAAAAAAGGTTAAGGCAAAAATTATCTGATTTCAGAAAAAAATAATAAATCCGGAAGAAATGCAACATAGAAAACGATTTGTTGATCTAAATTACTTTTTTTTATCTAATTTGAAATTTTACACTTAGTTTAATTTGACATGAAAACTAAAAATTCTAATAAAACAGAAACTCAGTATCAAGTTTAAACTGTCAGTACTAATATTTTTCTTTCTTCTTTTTTTTTTTGCAATTTTTTTTTTTTTTTTTGTCTTTTAAAAAATGATATTTTGTGAACTATTGGTCATAATTTTTATATTAGTGGCCACGTCTCAGACATCTCTTATCAGTTCTTGCGTCCTCTACTAAAATAGATTTCTCCCAAAATTTGAAAAAAAAAAATTTTGTAGGGCACGGTAAGTTAATGATTTTATATGTGAGCACTAGTTTCTTTGTTCTTTAATTGACACTGCCTTATAATCCATTTTCTTTCCTATAACTTCATTTGTAATTCAGATGTGCTCACACTTCCTACAGAGTCCACTATAGTTTTAAATTTTGCTTTGAATTTTGTGAAGAAGAAGAAGAATGCTCTGCATGGAAACGAAAATTAGTCTACAATTTCTTTAAACTGTAGAAAAAATATATACATGTATCATTCCCATAACAGTAATCTTATATAAACATCATCAGAGTATAAAAGTGATAAGGTTGCCTTAATATTCATACTTGTAAAATGTCGCACGGAATTTGCTCGTGTATTGTGATTACATGTATCAGGGAATCAGACATGCATATTTATGACTTTGAAATGACTCATTGTTTTGTGATGAATTACAATAATTTTGACATCCAGAGCAGGTGACAATGTTGACCCCCTTCCGATCATAATGAAACAGAATGTTCTCTTTTTAAATTAAGAGAAAAATAAACAGCATGATTGTATAACAAATTGAATACTGCAAGCATAATTATTCCGAAACTAGATTTATGGTTCAATGAATTATCGAAATGTTCCCCAAAATTGAGCAATTATATGGCTGATTAGAAAAACATTGAAATCTCAGCACCCTCTGTATTCATGGCCACTCATTGTCCACTCTTCAATGTGCTTCAAACTTTTGCCTCATTAGTCAAGCAGAATTCATCTGGGTGTTTAATCTTCTTCAGTTAAGCGCTTGACGACAAGAGCAAATGGCGGCTAAATCTGCTTCCTCGGTAGTCAATTACACATTGATCAGCATTTAGTCATTCAAACATCTCGTCACAATGATCTCTTTTTCTTCATCCCCTCTTAAACGAGTCGCCATTAATGTCATGGTCCTCTCTATGTTTTGAAACAGGTGACCGGACGCTTCGGAGAAAAAAAAATGACATAAAATATTCAAATCATGCTAATATTGCTACGCATTACAGAAAAAATCTACCTTCTTGTCGAGAAATACATTAATGTGACATTATTTTGACTTGTTTTCCCTAGTCCGGTTCGAATCTGTTTATATCTTGAGCAAAACTGTGGATTTGGGTTAAAGCTTCACTTGAGTCGGTTTAGCATGACATAAAAAAAAAAGTCAAAATTTTCCAAGTTGTCAATTGCATGAACATAAGTAAAAATATTCAAACACATTTATATCCAATATGCTAACGAAGAATAATTATAATGGATAGATCATCAACAGGGATATTAAGAGGGTATAGATAAATATGTTGAGGAGAAAATTATATTTTCTGCAAAGTATCAAATACAAGGTTCTTAAAGTTATTATCATGCAGTATTATCATAAATTACCATCTCTTTAAAAGTGAAAAAAAAAATTAACTGAATTTGATTTTAAATTCTAAATGTTCCCCCATTTTATTATAATTACCCTTTAAAAACAACAACAAGAATAAAGAATATGACATTTATTCATAATTTATTCAGTGTCATACAATAATTAAAAACAAGTACCGGATACCTCTATAAATCGTTTTCCTCTTTATAGCTGAAATAAACTGTTTGCCTACTGTACTTTACTGGAAAGTGCTTATATTGCCAGTGCTCCGCGCTCTTTGATAGACAATCTAATAGTTTTATAATTAATGGCGGTGCTAATCCTTGCGATGTCATATAACATTCATTTGGGCCTTTTTTAAGTTATCAAGAAATGTACGAAATCTCGCACAGTAGAGTGCGAAAACAAACTAAAAAGAGCGAACTGTTTTTGATGATTATTCGCTACTGATGTATTAAATATATTCTTTCTAGTAGCAATTTATTTCAAATATTTGCATTGAGATTTTTTGCTGATTTTCATACTCGTGCTAGACGGTATAAATTAAATGGAGTCTGGGTTCTTCTCAAAAAAACACCGTCCGCCATCAGGTCGGCGCTTATTCCACCAAAAGATAAAAGAAAAATAATCCTCCGCAAACACCATTCGAGTGCCCTCGGCAGTTATCAATGATATTACTAGTTAATTTACTCCCTTGCCGGACTGTAAAACAGTAAACCTTTGACCTTTATGTACATATGAATAAGAGGTCCGGAATTTCTTGTGAGATTTCGTTATCCTTTTGCTGAATACTGGCATCTGAGGCATTCCTTATGAACATGTATAAACCATGGTATTTCAATAAAAAGTCATCCCTTTAAAATCAAATTTTATTTTGCTCATTAAAAAGTCGCGTTTCTTAATATGATCCACGTAATAAATGATTAGGTAATGTTCATATATTTCTTTGAATGGAAGATCCTGAAAATATCAACAAATAAATTCTATTATTACATAGTCTACATGTATTTATAGTCCCTACATAATGTATGCAAACGCAAACGGTTCATAACACTACATTTTTACCAGATTTCATAGCCCATTAAATCGCTTTAATCCGACTTACAAAAAATTCGGGGTATAAAAAAAAAAGATGAAGGCAGGGAACTCTTAACACATGTTACCCACGTTCGTCAATGAAATACTTTTAAATCAAATGATCTTAAGTTTTACTTTCTAATCATATATATTCACATATAAACATTCTACATTACTACCAAAGTTCATTCCGAAATTCCGTATACTTCCCGAGGTATGCTGAAATCAATTCCAACATCCCATCCCCCTTTTTTTTTACTACTCGAAATAAGCTTGAGCCCCTGGTCCTTTTTTGTAACAGCCGATTTTTTAAGTCGGATTAAAACGATCTAAAGGCCTGTGCCAGATTTGAAGCAAAATTCACTGTAGA